CTACATGACGTCATCGAGGGAGGGTGCCGATGCCGCATCGCCAGCGGCGCGCCCTCGGCGGCGCCCTCGGCGCTTGGCCTCCTGGGCCGTGGCCGGCGCCGCGTGGGGCCCAGCGCCGAACTCCGCGTGCTGGGCCCAGCCGCGGAAGGCGCGGCTGGCGCCAGAAGGCCGAGCCTCCACGCCTTGGCGGCCAGCCTTCACCATCTCGGTCAGGTGGGGCCTCCCGAGCCGCTCGCGAACCGCGATTTCCTCCTCCACCTCGGAGTCGACACGGTGGGCGAACAGCTCAGCGCCCGTGCGGAGCGCGGAAGCGACCGCGGCGGCGACATGCTGCCGTCCGCCGCCACCTTCGGCCGCCCCCGCCGCTGCCGCCTTCACCAGCGGGGCGAGCAGCGCCACCGCCTCCCCATCCAGAGGCAAGACCGTCGCCATTGCCCGAGCCGCGGCGGGAAGCGCACGCCCGAAGCAAGCTTGAGCCAAAATGGCTACGGAAGGAGGAGGGGAGGAGGAGGAGGAGGAGGAGGAGGAGGAGGAGGAGGAGGAGGAGGAGGAGGAGGAGGAGGAGGAGGAGGAGGGGGGGGAGGGAGGAGAGTAGTAGTAGTAGTAGGAGGAGGAGGAGGAGGAGGAGGAGGAGGAGGAGGAGAGGAGGAGGAGGAGGAGGAGGAGGAGGAGGAGGAGGAGGAGGACCCCAAGGGGCGAAGCTAGCTGGTCGCTGGTCGCTGGTCGCTGGCCTCCTGGGAGAGGCTCTGAGAATCTGAGAAGGGCCCGAGAGGACTCCGCGAGGGCTTCGCTTATCTCGTCTCTCCCCCTCTCTACTCTTCGCTGGAGCTCCTATTGGCGGCGCGCACAAGGGGGTGGAGGGAGGGGGGGGGGCTTCTTAGAAGGAGGCTGCTTCTTAGAAGGCGCCGGCCTTCATCTACAGAAGGCCCACGCCTTCTAAGAAGCAGGGGTGCTTCTGAGAAGCCCTCCCCCCACCCCCCACCCCCCTCTGTGCGTGGCCGATCCTACACTTATCCTTCTCACGAGGGATCGCCTGGCAGTCGTTTCTGGATGGCATCCACTCGCGGACCTGGCTTTGACCAGATCCGTCAACAAATGCTGAAAATCTGTCACTGTGGGAGCAGCAACAACAGATTCCGACAATATGCTGTATACTCCCCCGATACCCCTAAGCAGGAACGCAGCAAAAAGTTTGGCGATCGCGTTGGGCACACGTCCACCAGGTGTTTTTCGCGTGTCCGTCGTGAAGACAACAAGCGCCATCGATTTGCTGACTGCGGCGTCTCTGCCGCGGACAAACGCGTCCAGCGCCGAACAGCACGTACCCCCCCAGGCCTGATCCTGGAAAAGGCTCAAGAGCTCGTCGCCGGAGGCAGACTGCAGCACGGAGTAGCCGTCCTCGGGGCGGCACGGCCAGAGCGGTCACGTCAACGACCCGACGCCACCTGCAGGTGGTCGCTGGCACATGCACGCGCTTGGCGACAGCACTTACGGCACGCTGCAAAGCCTGGCCGACCCTGGGCTGGGCCCAGGCTGGTTGCGTGACTGTGCTCCGGGAGGTGGAGGACATGTGTCTGACCCGAGTCCGACCCGATGTAGGCACGACTGGGTGGTGGTGTGAGCACACCAGTGCTGTTTCGGGGTGTGCCAGAACACCACGGCTCGTGTGACGACGGGGGGAAACAAACTTTTGTCTGCGCAGTCTGGTCAGCCCGACGGTCGAGACACATAGGGCTACTGTCAAGAACACCCCGCAAACGTAATTATTCATCCCGCAGGCGCCCAAGACGACCTCCACGATGCCCTGACACTCGGCATCAGGGGAAAAATGCCCCCGGTGGCAGTGCATTCCTGCAATCCGTTCCACCACTACTCTCCAAACCAAGCTGTCACTTTTAAGCGACGTCCGAATTGAGAGACCCAAGAAAGGGCGGCGATTTGCTGACGTCGGATTCCTGGCCATGGCAGACGTGGTAAAAAGATCATGGTGGCTGTGCTGATCATGATGCTCAGAGTGATGTTCGTGGCAGCGGCAGTGGAATTGGAAGCGCAAATGGTCTCGGTAGTGGTTGTGATCGTTGTAGTGGTCACCATAATTCCGTGACCGACGGACGACCTTACTGATGCAGTCGGTCCGAAGTCCCACCTGCATGTCGAATCCGAAGTCTGAAGTCCCGAGCCCGAAGACCCGTGTCGTGACGTCCCCATGAGACGTTGAGGAGCGCTGCCAACCAGAACGGCATCACCTGCATGCCCCCAGTTGGGCAAAACTGCTACAAATCGACCCACGCGAGCGCGCTGCGTCCCAACGACCCGAGCAACGAATCGAATCCGGTTCGACGTCCGCAATGACGCGCACTGTCGAATCCGCCGATTCCGCTGGGACCTCCAGACTTGTGGTGAGATTCTTCCCCCCCTTTCAAGCACCACCCCCGATGGTTGCGCGATAATCGACCCCGAATCAAAAATTGACCGCCACCTTGCCGCTAGGCACGGAGTGGGCGTGTCCTCAGGTCCGTTGCCCTATCCCCTGAGCCTCAGTTTTCGGTCTTCAAAAATATTTCAGGGGCCCGGACCCCAAATTCCAATATATGCTGAGGCTTCCCGCATGGTCCCTGGGCACCAGCGCATCTTGTCGCCTGAAATGTTTTCGGGCCCAATAAAGCCATAACACTGGCCGAGAGGGGTGCACGGAACGTGCACGTTTCTCTTGGTATCCCTAGGACGTGTGCTCGGTTCTCGTCGAGGACCATCGAGGAGCATCCTGGATCACCGAGCAGAAAAACACGCACGAACGGGGAACGGATGTCCGAGGGATGGCAAGTCCTTCACCCCACGCTTTTTGTCTTCTCACAGCGCACTGGCGTCTTCGCTCCGCTCTGCAGGACAGCGGAGAGAGAGGGGCGAGGACGACCCATGCGGCAGGTCTGGCCGCCGGCTCCGGGGCCTCGCTCGTCTCCGACGGCGGCCTCGTTTCTCGCGGGTCCCCCCAGACGGCCCCCAAACAGCCCAGGACGCCTCCAAGACGCCTCAATTGTCCTTAGGTTTTTGAATGTTTTTGGCTTTCTCACCTTTTCGGCTTCCCGACGCTCCCAGACGGCCCTAGAGACCCCCCAGATCGCCCCAAGACGGCCCAACAAGCCTCCAAGAGGGCCACAAAACAGCCCACCAAGACGGCCCAAGAGGCGCCCTAGGCGGCCCAAGAGGCCCCAAAGACGGCTCCAGGAGGGGCCCAGATGGGGACCCGAACGGACATTTCGAGCCCTCGGCGCCGAGGGCCCCCCAGAAGACCCAAGAGGCCCCCAAGAGGCCCCCAAGAGGCCCCAAGAGGCCCCGAGAGGCCCCAAGAGGCCCCCGACAAGCTCCCTATGGGGCACCCAAGGGACTGTAAAACTGCCCCCCAGGGGCCCCCGAGAGCGCTCCGCAGAGAACCCAAGAAGCATCCCTGAGAACTCTGACCCACAACCCAGGCACGGTGGCGGGATGGGCCGAAGGCCATGAGATCCGCCGCCCCCTTCTGCTTCAGCAAAGGGATGCCCGGCGTGCCGAACCCTATCGGTTTTGGTTTTGGTTCTTTTCCCAGAAGAACTCTCCCAATGGGTTTGGGCCCGTCCCGCCGGGGTCCCGGGATTTTTTCCACGGACCTCGCTTCCCCAATTTTCTGCCCCAGACGGCTCCAAGATGGCCTCCAAGATGGCCAAGATGGCCCAAGATGGCCTCCAAGATAGTCCAAGATGGCCTCCAAGTCCGCCCAAGATGGTCCAAGGCGGCCTCCAAGACGGCCCAAGAGAGTCCAAGAGGGCCCCAGACGGGCCAAGAGGCCCCCCAGAGGCCTCCCAGACGGCCCAAGAGGCCTCCAAGAGGTCCTCCAGGAGGGCCCGAAGAGACCAAAATCATTGATTTTCCTTTGGTATTTGAAGGAATTGGGGATTTTGCGTCTTCTCGGCATTCCGACGGCTCAAGACGGCCCAAGAGGCCCCCAAGATCGCCCAAGAGGCCCCCAAGAAGGCCCCAGGACGGCCCAAGTGGCCTCCAAGATGGCCCCAAGAGGGCCCCAAGACGGCCCAAGAGGCCTTCAACACGCCCAAGATGGCCTCCAAGACGCCCAAGATGGCCTCCAAGACGGCCCCGAAGCGCCCCAAGAGGGTCACCCGTGGGCCCAGAAAGCCCCCCCAGACGGCTCCCGACGGCGTCAGACGTGCCAGGAACCCACCAAGATGGCCGAAGTTGGCTCGAAGCTGGCCCAAAAGGGCCCAAGAGGCCCCCAAGAGAGCCTCCAGGAAGGCCAGAAGAGGCCAAAAAACATTGACATTTCCTTCTTTTCGGCCTGCCGACGGCCCGAGACGGCCCAAGAGCCCCCAGAGATCGCCGAAAGATCGCCCAAGAGGCCTCCAAGACAGCCAAGATGACCTTCAAGACGCCCACGTGTTCCCCGAAAGCTTTCCAAACCGATTCGGGGAACACATGGTCCGATGGCTTGGTGGCCAAGATGGCCCAGGATGGCCTCCAAGATGGTCCAAGATGGCCCGCAAGTCCGCCCAAGATGGTCCAAGACGGCCTCCACGACGGCCCAAGAGAGTCCAAAACGGCCCAAGACGGCCCAAGAGGCCCCCCAGAGGCCTCCCAGACGGCCCAAGATGCCTCCACGAGGTCCTCCAAGAGGGCCCGAGGAGGCCAAAATCATTGATTTTCCGCAGGTTTTCGAAGGATGTTGGAATGTGTTTCTTCTCGGCATTCCGACGGCCCAAGACGGCCCAAGAGGCCCCCAAGATCGCCCAAGAGGCCCCCGAGAGGGCCCCATGACGGCCCAAGTGGCCTCCAAGATGGCCCAAGAGGGCCCCAAGACGGCCCAAGAGGCCTCCAACACGCCCAAGATGGCCTCCAAGACGGCCCCGAAGCGCCCCGAGAGGGTCCCCCGTGGGCCCAGAAAGGCCCCCAAGACGGCTCCCGACGGCGTCAGACGTGTCAGCAACCCACCAAGATGGCCAAAGTTGGCTCGAAGCTGGCCCAAAAGGGCCCAAGAGGCCCCCAAGAGGGCCTCCAGGAAGGCCAGAAGAGGCCAAAAAACGGCCCGAGACGGCCCAAGAGCCCCCAAAGATCGCCGAAAGATCGCCCAAGAGACCTCCAAGACGGCCAAGATGACCTTCAAGATGCCCACGTGTTCCCCGAAGGCTTCCAAACCGATTCGGGGAACACATGGTCCGATGGCTTGGCAGGTCTGGCCTCAACGTTCGGCCACATAGGCGCTTCCAAAAAGGCAGGGGGCGGCGGTGGTTCGCCGTAGACGTCTTAGATCCGCCGCCCCCTGTCGATTAATCGCAGGGGTGCCTGGCGTGCTGGACCCTCTCGGTTTTGGTGTTGGTTCGTGTTCCAAAAGAACTCCCCCTGGCGCTTCGGCCCGTCCCGCCGGCCGCCCCCCAAGACCCGTAAGACGCACGCGCCATCGCCCAATCCCAATTCTTCCTCCAAGACGGCCCAACATGGCCTCCAAGATGGTCACGTTGGCCCAAGATGGCCTCCAAGATGGTCCAGATGGCCTCCAAGTCCGCCCAAGATGGTCCAAGGCGGCCTCCAAGACGGCCCAAGAGTCCAAGATACCTCCAAGTTCGCCCAAGAGCCCCCCCAGAGGCCTCCAAGACGGCCCAAGAGGCCTCCAAGAGGTCCTCCAGGAGGGCCCGAAGAGGCCAAAATCATTGATTTTCCTTAGGTATTTGAAGGAATTGGGGATTTTGCGTCTTCTCGGCATTCCGACGGCTCAAGACGGCCCAAGAGGCCCCCAAGATCGCCCAAGAGGCCCCCAAGAAGGCCCCAGGACGGCCCAAGTGGCCTCCAAGATGGCCCCAAGAGGGAACCAAGACGGCCCAAGAGGCCTCCAACACGCCCAAGATGGCCTCCAAGACCCCCAAGATGGCCTCCAAGACGGCCCCGAAGCGCCCCAAGAGGGCCCCAAGTCGGCCCAGAAAGGCCCCCAAGACGGCTCCCGACGGCGTCAGACGTGCCAGGAACCCACCAAGATGGCCGAAGTTGGCTCCAAGCTGGCCCAAGACGGCCCAAGAGGCCCCCAAGAGGGCCTCCGGGAAGGCCAGAAGAGGCCAAAAGCATTGATGTTCCTAAGGTTTTTGACGGATTTTGACATTTCCTTCTTTTCGGCCTTCCGACGGCCCGAGACGGCCCAAGAGCCCCCAAAGATCGCCGAAAGATCGCCCAAGAGGCCTCCAAGACGGCCAAGACGACCTTCAAGATGCCCACGTGTTCCCCGAAGGCTTCCAAACCGATTCGGGGAACACATGGTCCGATGGCTTGGCAGGTCTGGCCTCAACGTTCGGCCACATAGGCGCTTCCAAAAAGGCAGGGGGCGGCGGTGGTTCGCCGTAGGCGTCTTCAATCCGCCGCCCCCTGTCGATTAATCGCAGGGGTGCCTGGCGTGCTGGACCCTTTCGGTTTTGGTTTTGGCTCTTTTTCCTGAAGAACTTCCCCTGGCGCTTCGGCCCGTCCCGCCGGGGTCCCAGGAGGACCATCCAGGACCCCAACGTCCCGAAAAAATCCTCCAAGACGGCTCAAGATGGCGTCCGAGATGGCCAAGATGGCCCAAGATGGCCTCCAAGATGGTCCAAGATTGCCTCCAAGTCCGCCCGAGATGGTCCAAGACGGCCTCCAAGACGGCCCAAGAGAGTCCAAGACGGCCCAAGACGGCCCAAAAGGCCCCCCAGAGGCCTCCAAGACGGCCCAAGGGGCCTCCAAGAGGTCCTCCAGGAACACCCGAAGGGGCCAAAATCATTGATTTTCATTAGGTTTTTGAAGGATTTGGGGATTTGCTTCTTCTCGGCATTCCGACGGCTCAAGACGGGCCAAGAGGCCCCCAAGATCGCCCAAGAGGCCCCCAAGAGGGCCCCATGACAGCCCAAGTGGCCTCCAAGACGGCCCCAAGAGGGCCCCAAGACGGCCCAAGAGGCCTCCAACACGCCCAAGATGTGGGTGGGCGAAACGCAGGGAGCGAAGGGCTGTGCTGGGTGGTGGCGGACGCATGCGGGCGGTGCCACTGGGACCTTCGGTGGAGCTCCCTATGGGGCCACGAAACGCTGTACTGGGTGGGTGAAACGCAGGAAGCAAGGGCTGTGCTGGGTTGTGGCGGACGCATGCGGCCAGTGCCACTGGGACCTTCGGTGGAGCCCCCTATGGGGCCATGAAACGCTGTACTGGGTGGGTGAAACGAAGGGAGCAATGGCTGTACTGGGTGGTGGCGGACGCATGCGGGCGGTGCCACTGGGACCTTCCGTGGAGCTCCCTATGGGGCCACGAAGCGCTGTACTACTGGATGGGTGAAACGCAGGGAACAGGGGCTGTGCTGGGCGGTGGCGGACGCATGCGGGCGGTCCCACTGGGGGCTTCGGTGGAGCTCCCTATGGGGCCACGAAACGCTGTGCTAGGTGGGCGAAACGCATGGAAGAAGGAGGAGGGAGGGGAGGAGGGGAGGAGGAGGAGGAGAGGAGAAGAGGAACGCCGGGCGACGTCTCTTCAAAACGAGGACGCAACACCACAGGATGGTTTGGAAAAAGTTGCCGCGAAGTCGACCATCGCTGGCCTCCCAGGTTGTCCCGAAGAGCTCCGCGACAACCCAGGCGAGCCCCAAAACAGTCAAAAATGGCATGGGCACGATCCAGGAGGCCGCCCGGACTCCCTTAGAAGACTCCGCAAGGACCGCCGAGGAGCCCTCAACAGGCAAAATCATGTGCTTCCGTTGGCTTGCTGCTGCGAGCCCCTCCTTTGTCGAGAGGCCCCCAAGAGGGCCCCGGGAGGTCCCCAAAACAGCCCCAGAGGCTCCCCACGACGTCCCGCAGAGCAGACCAGAAGGGGCCCAAGAGGGGGGAGAATCAAACTGGCCAAGAGGCCCCTGGATGCCTTCAACAGGCCCCCATGAGGCCCCCACGAGGCTCCCAAAGAGCCCTAAAAAAGCCTCCAAGACGGCAGAACGGCACGGCAGACCAGCACGGCAGACGAGCAGGGCAAAACAATTGGGGCACTACCTTGTTACGCGTCCTGGACATGCACCCCGCGAAGCGAGAGGCATCCATGTCTGGAAGCGAAGCAGGCACTCCAAATATGATTCCTCTCGCTTCCAGGGTGCACCTCCAGAATGTGTAGAGTGCGTGCGTTGGGGTCCTCTGGGGGGCCTTCCTTCTGGAAGCCTCCTGGGACCTTGGGGGCTGCTTGAGGCCTTCTTGGGGGCCCGATGGAGCGTCTTGGGGGCGTCTTGGACCACCTTCGGACGCTCTTGATCCGTCTTGACTTCAGTCTGACGCCTTCGGAGGCCGTCCTGGGGGCCTCTCTGGGCCGTCTTGGTGACTTACTAGGGCCTCCAAGAGCCGTCTAGGGGATCGCTTGGGCCGTCTTGAAGCCACACGGGCTGTCTTGGGGCTGTCTTGGGGGCCTTTGGGGCAACCCTGGGGCCTTCTTGGGCCGTCCTGGGGCCCTCTTGGGTGGTTCCTGGGCCGTTTTGAGACCATCTTCGAAGCCTCTGGTGCTTGCTTGGGGCGTCGGAAGCCCGAGTGGGCGAGAACGGTAACACCTGTCAAAAAAACAAACAAACAAAAAACACTCGTTTTTGGCCTCTCGAGGCCATCTTGGGGGTCTCACTGAAGGGGGGAGATGCATGCGAACTTTGCCACTGGGACCTTTGGTGGAGCTCCCCATGGAGCCACGAAATGCTGTGCTGGGCGGGGAAGACGCATGCGAACTTTGCCACTGGGGCCTTCGGTGGAGCCCCTTGTGGGCCAAACAGTGCTGTACTGGGTGGGTGAGACGCATGCGAACTTTGCCACAGGGGCCTTCGGTGGAGCTCCCTATAAAGCCAATAAGCGTGTGAGGGGTGTGCCGACATGGTTGACATGCGGGGGGCAAAGGGAAGATGATGGGAGGAGGGAGGAGGGGGAGGAGGAGTGAGGAGTGAGGAGTGAGGACTGAGGAACGCGGGGCGCTGTCTCTTCAAAACGAGGACCCAACACCACTGGATAGTTGGGATGAAGAGAAGTGCTGACGCTGCTGTCTTGAAACTCTTGGGGGACCCAGAAAGCCCCAAGACGGCCAAAGATGGCCCCAAGAAAGCACAAGATGGTCCCAGGGAGGCTGTTAATGACCTCAAGATGCGCCAAGAGGCCCCCAAGACGTCCCAAGACTGCCAAAATGGCCTCAAGACGGCCCAAGAGCCCCCCAGGGCGGCCCTTGGAGACCCCGAGAGGACCCCCAAGAGGGCTTCCAATGCAAGAATCACTGGTGTTCCTTAGATGTTGTTTGATGAAGTTGAAGTCCTCGCTTTTCCGAACTTCACAACGCACGAGAAGGCCCAAGAGTTCCAAAAGATCGGCCCCAGACGACCCAAGAGGCCCCAAAGAGAGCCCTGGAAAGCCCCAGACGGCCCACGAGGCCGACACGACGGCCCCAGAGGCCCCAGAGGCCTCAGAAGGGGAAATTGAACTGACCTTTGGGGCCTCTCCTCCCAAGATAACCTCAAGAGGCCCCCCGAGGTCCCCCGATATGGCCCGCAAAAAGGCCCCCACGAGACCCCGAGAAGCCCCCAAGACTCCCCAAAGAGGCCCCCAAGAGGGCCCCCAAGAAACCTCCAGGACGGCAGAAGGGCACGGCAGACCAACACGGCAGACGAGCAGGGCAACCCAGCCAACGCCCCGACTTTACGCGCTCCGGACGTGCACCCCGCGAAGCGAGAGGAATCTACAATCTGAAGTGGTCTTGTTGACCTCGTTCGGAATTGAGGCCTCATTGAAGAGAGCTGCCCCGCCGAAATTGCCCGCCCTCTCATCTGGCGGCTGGATGAATGCATCGCCAAACTCGCAAATTGTTGCCCAACTGTGCATTCCCCAGGCAGTGCTTGCACTTGGGTGCTATCCCATGCCTTCCAGTGAACTGGAACCGTTTGCCGCCCTAGGTGCCCTGTTCCAATCCGTCGCCGCACCATGGTTCCGAAGACAAACCCGATTGCCGTCCCCGTGGCTCCGTTCCCGCCCGCCGCCGCCGCCACGTTGCAAGCCCCCCAGTAGACTGCATTGCAATCGCAACGCATGACATTGCAATCGCAACGCATTGCATTGCATTGCATCGCTTTGCATCGATTCGCGTTGCTTTGCATTGTGGCGCATTGCAAAGCATTACGTTGCATTGCATTGCTGTGCATTGCTTTAGACCACACAGATTGCGCCACATGGATTGCACCAACTACATTGCACTACACTGGTTGCACCACCTAGATTGCACGCATAAATTGCAAAAAAAAACATGATTTGGGATGCACGCCGACCAACAGTCTGCGAGATGCTTACCATGGACGTTTGATGCATTTATGTTGCCAATCCAGCATCAGCCCCATCCTCATCACACATCATCATCGAACACCCTCATCATCATCATCAGCATCATCATCGTCAGCATCAGCATCATCACGCTGATTGGATGGGAGATCATTGAAACTGCTGATGACAAGGCGGCGAGATGTGCGCCATGACCCAGCGAAGCTACCCCCCCGGCTGTGGTGGCGCAGGCTGCCTGCTCGCTGTAGAGTTCCACCTCAAAGAGAGACACGGTCTGGAGCAGCAGCGCCTCTATGCGCGACAAGCTCCTTCGGGACTCCAAGGAGACACGCGGCAATCGAGCTACCAGGAAAAAACGCCGCATCGGGAACGTACTCGTCTCATTGTCACGGCGAGCCTCTGCCCCGAGCAGGTCCCCCGCACCGAGCCTGCAGAACGACCCGAGAACGGGAGCCCCTCCCGATCCCAGAGTGGTCCTCGTCATCGCGAACAACAACGTGGTGAGCGAAAGGCTGCGACAAGAGGGGGAGGGGGAGGGGGGGACGGGGGAGGGGGGGTGGGGGCAAATCCACTGCTCGCCCGCCCAGGAAACCCGTCATCGCGAACAGCGTGGTGAGCGAAAGGCTGCGACAAGAGGGGGGGGGGGAGGGCAAATCCACTGCTCGCGCGGCCAGGAAACTTGCCGCGGCGGGAAAAAATGGCGGCGTGTCCCCCACAAGGCGGAATCGCCGATTCGACTTGGCCACCCCGTTTGGCATCTGAACTCTTTAGCTCACGAAGCCGAATTAAACGAGAATGTGTGGTTTTCGCCTGGGACTTCTTTTGGGCAAGGGACGTCAACATGATGTCGAAACTCGTCGGTGCGAGATCGGAGTGGCGACTCCGCCAAGTGACATTGTGGCGACTCTACACGAGACCGACCACCCGCTGAAAACGGTGGCGTGCGCGGCGGTCGCGGCGGCGGTCGCAGCAGAGACCGGCAAGGGCAGGCCAAGGGCTCGCCTGCCGCGGGCGCTGGATTCGGGAGCGGAAACCTTGAAGGCACAGAAAACTCAAGTGGGCAAAACGGACACACTTCCGACACGTCGAATACTCCGATCGGCGGACCACGAATTGCTTTCCTTCCTCGTGACGAGGCGTGGTAAAACAAACGATAGTGCACAGACACGCGCAATTGGCGAGACGGGGTATATATATATACACACACATACATACATACAGACAGACAGACATACATACAGACAGACAGACAGACAGACAGACAGACACACTGACGTACGTACGTACGTACGTACGTACGTACGTACGTACGTACGTACATACATACATACATACATACATACATACATACATACATACATACATATATATATACATACATACAGACAGACAGACAGACATACATACATACATACATACACACACTATGTATATAAAACGCGGCGCACCATCGCAAGGACAGACACACTTTTCCTCCAGCAGCGAAGGGAGAACACCGTCGCGATGCTCTGAGCCAGGACACGATGAGGCGCGAATTACCACCTGGCGTAGAGGATGGGTGAACTGGATGGTGGCAGCCACATGCAGAGAAACCGCAAAAGCGGATGCACGCGAAAGAGGCCGAAACGGCCACGCAATGCAATTCAAAACTGGGCAGGCGTAGAAGCGCGTAGAAACTCGTGGGTGTCGCTGCCGGAATGACATGGCGAGGCACAAATCACAAGCATAATCAAACACGTACAGGCACGCACGCACGCACGCACGCACGCAAGCACACAAACACACGCATCCTAAGGCGGCGGCGCAGAAGAGCCTCAAGCACGGTCGGCAGGCGGAGGTGCCAATTCGAACGCGCCATGATGAAAGAATCGAACCACGGCCATGCAGATTAGAAGGGGAAAGAGTGAGGCGCTGTAGAGCCAGAATGCAGCGGCCGACGAATCCGCGGAAGGAAAGCCCATCGCAAGAAGTTGAAACGCAAACAGCAGTCTGGGGCGAATTACAGCCTCAAGAAGCGACACAAAGGGCTGTAAGGCTGCCAGACCAGCCAGCTTGGTGGCGGCGCATAGCACGCAAAGAAATGCGCGACAAGGCGACGCCACCAGCATTGCAACAAGTACAACAAGAGCGCCGTGCAACATAAGGCAAGTAGTCGGTGTGAAAGATGATACTGCGGCCGAGGCTGACATATCCTTGGGCAACAAAAAGCCACGCGGAACACCAGCGGCGACCGCAAGCAGCAACCGCTTCACGCGGCGGTGCACATGGGTGGTGGACAGCGCGAGCAAATCCATGGGCGGCGGACAGGCGCGAGCGTGGCCAACGTGCAACGCTGATGCCACCGTTAAATCAGCTACCCCACAGCAGCAAACGCCACGAAGAGCTACCATGAGTAGGTCGTGGTAAAGGCAAAACATCAAGATTGACAACCACCTAACCAATAGAGACTGCACGCGTCACCTCAAGGTCGCACCACACCGACCAAAGGCGACAAAATGGAAAGAAGGACGAACAAAACGAACCCGCACGGGCTACGCCAACGATAAATGCCGGTGATCAAGTTGACATACAGCTGAAGCCAACAGCAAATGCGAACTGCAGCCCCAGGTGCGCATGCGCACCCCAAATGCAACGCAGGAAGCAAAAACGTAAAACTGGCCGCGGCCGTGCCAGCCAGCACCCCGCGCCAAAGAGCAAGCAGGAAGGCGGCAAGGCCGCCGCTGGGCAAGCTGCCAGACGGAACAAGGCGCCGACCCACGAGCAGTGCCCGTGGAAATTGCCACGCGCACCCCTGGGGACGAAGGAACGCCAGCGCCCTGGCCAACACGAGAGGTGCAAGGCACCGCCCGGCCGCGCACCCGAAGCACCCCAAAAAGACAGAAAGCAAGGCAACCGAGATCCCTCCCGCCCAAGGCGGCAAGGGGGCACGGACACTGGCCAACAGAGGGCCGGATGGCGCAGAAAAGGGCTGAAGCGACCTACCCCAAGACGAAGCGTGGGGAGCACGACAAAAAGAATGGTGGGCCGCGGCCAGGCGGGCCCTTACCCCGCACCGGGACGCAGGCACCTAGGCTGCAAGGCCGCCGCCAGGACCAACAGACACAAACGGAAAAAAGGGGCTACAACACGTGAGTGGAGCGCGAGGGTCCAGCAGCTAGGACCAAAAAACATGATCGGTGTAGGCATGACAGCACACGGCCGAACACCACGAAGACAGCCCCCAGGCAAAGGCTCACCGCCCAAGGCAATGAGAGACAAATACGGCAAGTCCCGCCAACAATTCCGCGGGACAAGCCACGAGGGACTGGGGGCCGCGCACTGGCGGTCACCGAGCGCAACGGTGGAAGGTGCAGAGAGCGGCGAGCGGCAACCGTCGCAGCTACGCAGAAAAGGGGCCCCAGCAACGACGCGCGGTCGCGCGCAAAGAAAAAGGCAGATGAAAGACAAGCGGGCGCAGCGATTCATCACTCCAGTCAGCACCACCGAACACCATGGGCACGGGCAGCCTTCAACAAAAAATTAAACAGCATACGTGGGGGCAAAGCGGAACCTCAGTAGCTCGCGCCTCCGTTTGCAGCACGATGTCGCCCTCTCTGTCGACCTGGCTTCCCCTCCTCTGGGAAATACTGAGCGGCCGAAATGGGCGGGGGGCATGGGCGAAAGTGGCGAGTGCCATGGCACACGTGCACACACACATACACACACTCACTTTGTTAAAGTCGGCGTCGCCGAGGATCCTCAGGAGCGAGCAGCAGATGGAAGCGCGAACTGCGATCGAACACTGTCGAAGGCACAGTGTACAATACGTGCGCACTGTCGATGCAACGATGGACTGCGAAAAAGGAGCTGCAAATCCAAACGAAACGTGTAGCGGCACGAAACACACACACACACACACACACACACACACACACACACACACACACACACTTTTAAGTCGGCGGCGCAGAGGAACCTCAGGCGCGGTCGGCAGGTGGAGGCGCCAATCCCGAACGAACTTAGTCGAACGCGCCGTGGCGAAAGAATCCAGCCACTGCCATGCAGCTGGTGGTGGTGGCGAGAAAAATGAAGCACCAGAAAGCCGAAATGCAGCGGCCAATCATCCTGCGGAGCGTGGCTCGACGCAAGGAGTTGAGGCGCGAGCAGCAGTCTGGTGCCAATTAGCCAGTGAAGCGTAAAAACTGCAAGGCTGCCGGACCAGCCAGCTAAGCGGCAACCCGAAACGCGCAGCAGCGCGACAAGCGACGCCGTCAAGCATGCACCGAACACGACAAAGCACACACACACACACTTGTTGGCGGTCGCGGCCTCGCGCGCGGCGACAACGCGGAGCAGGTTGAGAAAGCGGCACGGCACCAACGCGCGCGGCCGAGCCCTCAGACGCGGCACCGCTGTGGGTCGTCTGGACATGAGCCACCCGGGCGAGGGTGGCGATTGACAAAATTTGCGCAGCCCAGGAGTGGGCGCACAGTGCAAGACAGCTTGGACAGGGGCTCCCGATCCAACTGCAGGTCGTGAGAGGAGGCGCTGGCGGCGTTGTGCTCGAGAGGGCGGAGGCGGAGCACGTAATTAGGCGAGGATGGGTAAGAAGCGGGAAAGATCCACCAGCTTGCCCAGCCGCTTGTCCGGCTCAGCACAAGTCACCTCCACGGAGGACCCGAGAGACGGGCGCTTCCTCGTGGAGCCCTGAGAGGATCGATGCTATTCGGCGGCGAGCGCCTCCGCCTGGCGACCTGGCACGTGGCGGGCCGCCCGGGGGGGCGGCTGGAGCAGAGCCGCGAACGTCCGCCCGCGACAGCCTTGAGAAGGTGACGACCTCGCTGAGGGCCCCGGCGGACCTGGCCCCGGCGTCGTTGATCTTGACAGCAAAGTTTGCTTCGAAGGCCCAGGCGAGGAGCTTCTGCAAGCCTGCCTCCTAGCAATCCTGGACTCGGCTGCGCTCTGGCCAGCTCGCGGCAGGGCGTCGTGGAGTTGCCATGGCGCGCCAACTTCGCGGACGTCGGCCGCGCCGGGGCTGGCACGAGGGGGGTGACGGACAGTGGAGGACAGTGCCTATGGTGCCCTGTCATTAAGCCAGAGCCCACCCGGCGAGGGCCGCGGCGAGCGGCGGGCGACCTGGGGGAGAACCCACACCAGGGGCCCCAGCCGCCACCGCGGCCAGGGGGGGCGTCGGCGAGATCCACGTCGTGGAGAGAGCCACCCCCCACAGCCTCGCCCTCGGGGGCGACGCGCCAGGCGAGGGCGCGCGTAGCTGGGCCTGGCGCGTCGGGTGGATCGCCCTCGGCAGGGAGCAGGGATGGATCGCGTC